GAACACGTAGCTAACGGAGGCAATTAGCATTTACCAGCATTGGTTCGAGCAAAGGCTGACAGCTGATGAGACACTGCATGTCGAAACTAAGTCCTTGCCTATAGAAATCTGGCAGTGCATCGGCATTGGTTCAAGCAAAGCCTGAAAACTGCTGATAAGAAGCTGCACGTCGAAAGCAATCCTCGCCTACAAATATCTGGCAGTTACACCAGCATTGCTTCAAGCAAAGCCTGACACTGGTGATGAGACGCTGAGAGTCGAAACCCAGCGATTGCTTCAAATGGAGCAGTCTGCACGACCGACCGTGCCACTGTGCATTGCAGCTGCACCGCGGCGAGGTACGAGGCTCCTCCTGAGCGGGGGGAGGGGGGGCGATGCAAGATCCGACTGTGGGCCCCCCTCCTCCTTTCTGCCGACTTACTTTTTACTGAAATAGCTACAGATGTGTTTTTTACTCCGTATACAATATGTATGCCAATATGTAAGATAATTAACCAATTGGCACGTGTTGTTTACGTACCAACCCTTATTGATTGGCCGTGTCGGGTGGTGGCGAGTTTAACGACACACGATCTAACCCAAAAAACCCTTTATTATGGATAACATTGGTCGCGAAAGCCTACGTATTAAATCGCTATAGCTGTTCCTGCAGTGTGTGCAAACCATTGTATATATATCATACACCGTCTGCTTTACAATGGAAAGTCAAGATCTCGTAACGTTGTTTTCAAGAGTTGTCGAAATTAGCCAAATATGAAAAAATGCCATTACAAATCACTCCATTGGAATCAATACAAATCGATACCTTTAATCGCCATTTGCCACCAAGTGACAGTAACGTCACAACGGTGCCTCTGCCAGGTCAGGTGTAGTTTGAGGCCACGTGAAGTATCGAAGGCTCATTTTTCGGTTCTTTCGGTAAAGTCACGTAGAAGGGAAGTAAGAAAATAATAAAAATAAAACATTATAAAATAATTCTCACGACGTTTCGGCTACAACGCAAGCAGCCGTCTTCAGGTGAAGAATGAGACACTACCAAGCTAGGAGCTTATATATACGCTGGGTTGGAGGTGCAAGAAGAGCGCCTTAACAAAAAGAATGTGCATATTAAGAGGAATTTAGCATATTCATGGGAAATGCGTAGGAGGTGGGCGGGGGGGTTTCAAAGTCATATTATGCCCATGCATTATGCAGGATCAGCAGCACCAAGGGAGGGTGTACGGAGTAGCATTAACAAAGGAAAGGAATGTTAATAGTATGTAGCTGCAGTTACTAGACAACCACGTAGAAAACTAAAGTATAAACTACATAAAAAACTAAAGTATAAACTGCATAGCACCATCAGTGTACTTACTATACTCTACAATAAGCTGAGTTACTCACAGCAAGTAATACATTACAATTCTACGTCGTAAAAATTATATAATATGCTTCCATCTAAACTTTATTCTCGTACATCACACGAGAATACACCGTACTATATACTGCCATAGATAACCCCAACATTAAATTATATGCTGTATTGCTATAAACCACCTTATACATTTTAATATAACACTATGTATTATTCTACCCACCTTAATGTGTATCACACTGCTATATGTTTACTTACAATTACGATACTATATATTACTTTGTACATTGTATTAAGCATATAAATGTTATACTATTTGTTATTATACACTGTACAATTGACCGTCGTGTCAATGGGTGAGTCGTGGGGGGAAAACTTGCAGCGGAGCAAAGAATCCATTCCCTGCGGAGAATACAATGCCAGTGAGTGGAAACGCGGTCTGATAGTCACCGTAAACGTGAACACAATCAGTTAAGATCCGAAATGGTTGATTACGTCCTTCCAATGATTGCTAAGGACGTAATAAACCATTATTTTTATTATTTTATTACTTCCCTTCTACGTGACTTTACCGAAAGAACCAAGAAAATGAATCCCTGCAGTCACGAAAGCTTTAAATCGAAATTTATCGAAGGCTCGTTGACAGGAGGTCATGGGACAGACCCAGGTGCCATGGGTTGACTGACTGAGATGAGTGGCCGATGCACCAGCTGTACCCCCTACTGTGCCAAATCGCTGCATTTAAGCCGCCCGGCGCTCCGCTCATTGTTGTGAGCGTTGCTCCTCTGCCCTCCGTTGTTGTTGGAGGGCAACTGCCTCCAACCGCCCAGTAGCATCATTGACGAGCTTCCTCCATAGAGCCTGGTCTTAACACTGCTGGCACCAGTCTTCAGAAAGTCCACTCAGCACCACATCCTCTCGTACCGCATCAGTCCATCTCTTGCACGAGTACGTAAATTCGTGCCGATTTGTCAACACCAAATGCCAGCATGGGCAAGGCAGCAAAACAACAACAAAAGTCCCACACCAAAAAAACAACAACAGTCCCAGACCACAGCAAGACAACACGGTATGTGATGAGTCGCGCACACGGATTGGACATGTTCCTCCTAAGGCAACCATCGGGTAAGCGAGTGAATGGGCAACTCGGAGAGCATGGGCCAGGGGATGGAAAACGCGGCATCGATGATTAGGCCCGTCTATCCAGCCAAACAGAAGCTGCTTGGGCATGCAGTGGGTTGGGCATGTGGGCTCCATGACCCAGCCAACGCAGCCTTTCCTGTGAAAAGAGCCCACCGATAGCACTGTGTTCAGATCTTTCAAGGATTTGTGAGCACCTCACACAATCCAGCTTGGTAAAACCCAGGCCAGCCTAAATGTTTATAATCGGCGAAGATGTTCCATTAGGGGGGTTCACGTTTCACAAGCATAGAGAAGGGAGGGCATGACTGTGGCCGAGAAGATCCGAAGCTTCGTGTGGAGCGACAGACCAGGCAGCTTCCACACAGCATTACGCAGTGATGCCCATTTGTGAGCGTTTAGACCTCGACTAGCTTTGTTTACATTCTGTTTTCTATATTGGCAGTGGAAATATCTCTCTTGCAAACTTCGTGACTTTTAATTATTTTTCAACTTATAAGTGAATTCGATTAACAGTTATTTCGGTTAACTGGAGTTTTCGTGGAACGGATTAAAAACGTTAACCGATGGACTACTGTAATAATAATTCACCTTTGCTCAAATTCAAGAAATCTGTATAACTGACAACTTCTATTAGTGCTCTTTGTTGCTGACCGCATGACATTTTGAGCCTCGATTATTATCCTTCGGCCGTGACTACCCGTGCGTCCTTACATCCAGGCAAACTTAGTTGTTCTAATGCAATATACGACAGTAGATCTTAACCTTGTTTGGCTACTGCTGTACCCCGTTTGTTGAATGTGGTTTCTACCGAGTAACACCCTTGCTTGACCCAACGTGCTTCTGAGAAATTAACGTAATGAATAAAGAACATACATTTTTTTTATTCCATTTTGTGAGGTTCTTCTTAAGTAACTGCAAGTGAATACAAAAAAAAAATCAACGGATGCTCGTGCGTAATGTGTTCACGCTCGCTGGTTACACTTGGAAAACCAACATTGTTTACGATCAATGAGTTTAGAAAGGTCTTGTATATCGTTCTAGGTTACCATATGGGTTTACATTTTAGGGGCCGTCTATAAATGACGTCACGCGATTTTTGACGATTTTTGACCCCACCCCCATCGTCACACGGCGTCACAAAAAGTCAGACCACCCTCCCCTCTCAAATATGACGTCACAAAGCTCTACCCCCCCCCCCCAAAAAAAAAACATGCTTCAAATCGCTTTACACTATTGTCATTGTAGTGCGTATTTAATGTGGCGCTGCACTCTGATGTTGTAGGAGCAGCAGCAGCAGCAGCAACTTCTGCAGCAGCAGTAACTGCAGCTCCCTTTGATGCTGTTAATCCTGCATAATGCACATGCATATGCAGTACTAATCACATTCCTGCATTTCCCATAAATATGCTAAATTCCTTTTGATATGCAAATTCCTTTGTCAATGCGCCAAGCTCGTGTGCTGTTTCATTCAGACTCTGTCGCCTCGACGGACCTGGTTTTCACCTGAGGACGGCTGCTTGCGTTGTGGCCGAAACGTCGTGAGAATTGTTTTATTATGTTTTATTTTTATTATTTTATTACTTCCCTTCTACGTGACTTTACCGAAAGAACCAAGAAGATGAATCCCTGCAGTCACGAAAGCTTTAAATCGAAATTTAAGTAGAATGTGTTGTCTATATTTATTTAAAGTTGCGCATTTTGATGTGACGTCACATTTCTCAACCCTCCCCCCCCCCATTCGTCACACATCGTCACAAATGTCTAAACCCCTCCCCCCTAGGTGCGTGACGTAATTTATGGACGGTCCCTTATAGCAGTTATTCTCTAAAGACAGATTAATACATGATTATTCATGTGACTATTCAATGATTATTCAATGACTCTCACACACGATATAATTTCACGCATTTACAAATCACCTCACGTACCCCCAGGGTCCCGCGTAAGCCCGGTTGAGAGCACCACCGGACTATACTTCGGTATAGAGTAGTATGATTATTGAAATAAAAAAATCGAGTTTTAACGGAAATCGCGATTATACGAATCGATTCATGGGAATCGCCGGGAGCGCTCGCGAGTTGCTTGAGGCGGCGATCACGGCAGGCCCGCCGCGTGACGTCACGGAGCAACAGCTGATCGCATTCCACACGTGGAGCCCCCAAGAGGAGACTGCGCGTCGGAGTCTCCACCTCCTGCACCTCCTCTCGGGATCGGTCTCTCGTCTCGGTGGGGGGCGGTCCCCTCCGCGCTCGCCCCCATCTCTCAGCCCCCCCCGCCGCCGCCGTGTGTGAGGGTCGCGTCTCTCGTGGCGGCTAGGAGAAGGTGAGAAGCGTCGAAGAGCCGCGTGGGCGCATTCTGATCGGGGTTGCTGCTGCTCGTGGTGGTGGTGACGGCGCAGTGGTCGCTGGTTGATGAGTGGCAGCGGCGGGCTATTTATATCTGGGAGGGGGGGACAGGGAGAGAGACAGGGCAGGCGGAGAGAGACAGCGTCGGGAAGAGGAGATTGGGGGGCACAGGAGAGAGACAGCGGAAGAGTGAACGCACAGTGGAGAACGCAGAGTGCGTGCGGGTCAGCATTGCACACTCCACACTCACTCACTGCAGCACTCGCACTCACACTCACTCACATTCACTCACACTCACTCACACTCACTGCAGCACTCACTCACATTCACTCACACTCACTCCAGCACTCACTCACTCCAGCACTCACTCCAGCACTCACACTCACTCACATTCACTCACACTCACCCCAGCACTCACACTCACTCACATTCACTCACACTCACTCCAGCACGCACACTCACACCTTACTCACATTCACTCACACTCACTCACTGCAGCACTCACACTCACTCACTGCAGCAATCACACTCACTCACATTCACTCACACTCACTCACTGCAGCACTCAAACTCACTCACATTCACTGCAGCACTCGCACTCACACTCACTCACATTCACTCACACTCACTCCAGCACTCACTCACTCCAGCACTCACACTCACTCACTGCAGCACTCGCACTCACACTCACTCACATTCACTCACACTCACTCCAGCACTCACTCACTCACATTCACTCACACTCACTCACTGCAGCACTCGCACTCACTCACATTCACTCACACTCACTCCAGCACTCACACTCACTCACATTCACTCACACTCACTCCAGCACTCACTCACTCCAGCACTCACTCACTGCAGCACTCGCACTCACACTCACTCACATTCACTCACACTCACTCCAGCACTCACTCACTCACATTCACTCACACTCACTCACTGCAGCACTCGCACTCACACTCACTCACATTCACTCACACTCACTCCAGCACTCACTCACTGCAGGACTCACTCACACTCACTCACATTCACTCACACTCACTCCAGCACGCACTCACTCACTCACTGCAGGACTCACTCACACTCACTCCAGCACTCACACTCACTCACTGCAGCACTCACACTCACTCACTGCAGGACTCACTCACACTCATTCACATTCACTCACATTCACTCACACTCACTCACATTCACTCACACTCACTCCAGCACTCACTCACTCACATTCACTCACACTCACTCACTGCAGCACTCGCACTCACACTCACTCACATTCACTCACACTCACTCCAGCACTCACTCACTGCAGGACTCACTCACACTCACTCACATTCACTCACACTCACTCCAGCACAAACTCACTCACTCACTGCAGGACTCACTCACACTCACTCCAGCACTCACACTCACTCACTGCAGCACTCACACTCACTCACTGCAGGACTCACTCACACTCACTCACATTCACTCACACTCACTCCAGCACTCACACTCACTCACTCCAGCACTCGCACTCACACTCACTCACATTCACTCACACTCACTCCAGCACTCACTCACTCCAGCACTCACACTCACTCACTGCAGCACTCGCACTCGCACTCACTCACATTCACTCACACTCACTCCAGCACTCACTCACTGCAGCACTCGCACTCACACTCACTCACATTCACTCACACTCACTCCAGCACTCACTCACTCCAGCACTCACACTCACTCACTGCAGCACTCGCACTCGCACTCACTCACATTCACTCACACTCACTCCAGCACTCACTCACTCCAGCACTCACACTCACTCACTGCAGCACTCGCACTCACACTCACTCACATTCACTCACACTCACTCCAGCACTCACTCACTCCAGCACTCACACTCACTCACTGCAGGACTCACTCACACTCACTCCAGCACTCTCACTCACTCTCCAGCACTCATTCACTGCAGTACTCACATTCACACTCATTAACACTCACTCAGTACTCACACTCGCTCACTCAATCTCCAGCACTCATTGAATGAATTACTCACAATCTCATTCCATAATTCACACTCATCTAAGTCTTCACACGAACTTACTGCAGTATTCATATACTCACTCTCCAGCACTCATTCACTCCCTCACATTCACGCCAGCACACTCTCAAACACAAAGATGCCATGTCTAGCCCGAACGGACCATTCGAGCAAGAGCTCTTAGCGAGCACTCTGTAACTTGCTGATCCGCCCTGCTCTCCATTCTGTGACAAGGGGCTCTGCGTAGCGCATCGCATTCCTCCTGCAGTAGGAATAAAGATTCTGATTCTGAAGGTCAGAACGGCACATGATGGCACCAGACCCGGCTGCCATTGTCTCTCAAGTGCTGAAGTTTACACACCGCGCCAGGAACTCGTTTGAGGTTGATTCGATCTAGGGGGAGGCCCAGGACTGGTACAGACAATCGTCACTGTTGTTGGCCGTGAGCGGGAATCGAACTCGGTTAGCCGGGTTCGTAGCGCAGCGTAGCGCAAACCGTTACAAAGATCTCCCCTATATAGCCTCAAGAGAGAGTACGCATGTGTGTTGAACTTATGTCGCACCGTACGTAGCCAACCTTGCTAATCGGAGGTGCGGGGGAAGGACAACAAACTGTTGAGGCAGATGCGGTTAGCCAGCGCCTACGAAGGCGGGCGCAACTTTCCAAACAACCGAAGCCATCACGAATCTCTCTCGATATGAGCCGATTTCACCATCGCTCCATTCTCCGCGACTAACGCAGCACTATCGGGTGCGCGTGGTTCCATTCCTCGCTTGTCACCGCTCCATTCTTATTCTCTCATCAACGCCCTCCTCCTCCCTCCCTCCCTCCTGGTGTCTGGATGTCGTTCCGTACGTACGTTTTCCCCCACACTTTGCTCACTCTTCGGTTGTCTGTTCCGTCTTGCCCTGTTGATGTTTACGTCTGCGATCCGCGATGAGGATCGGGGTCAATGAGTTACATCGATACAAAACACAACAAACGATATGAGAGCAAGATAGAGAAAAATGTAAGCAAGTCGCTCAAGTAAATCGTTATGAATAAAGTATAGACGTACAACTTGCACGAGTACGTACATTCATGCTGATTTGTCAACATTAAATGCCAGCATGGGCAAGGCAGCAAAACAACAACAAAGTCCCACACCGAGACAACAACAGTCCTAGACCACAGCAAGACAACACGGATATGTGATGAGTTACGCGCACGGATTGGACATGTTCCTCCTATGTCCTAAGGCAGGGGTGGGGAACCTTTTTTTCTGCCAAGGGCCATTTGGATATTTATAACATCATTCGCGGGCCATACAAAATTATCAACTTAAGAATTAGCCTGTTATATTTCGTCAAACATTTAATTAACTCGCCCCTAATGCAATGGCTGGAACTGCTTCTCTTTGGCGAGGCGTGTGATGTTAGCTGGTATTGATGATGTTGCTACTCGCAGCTGCTTTTCCAGGTTTGCTCCTAGATTTATTTAATTTCGAGTCCCGCCTGCGATTGCCTTGGCAGGGTCAGATCCAAATGATTTCGCGGGCCTCATACGGCCCGCGGGCCGGACGTTCCCCACCCCTGCCCTAAGGCAACCATCGGGTAAGCGAGCAAATGGGCAACTCGGAGAGCATGGGCCGGGGATGGCAAACGCGGCATCGATTATTTGTTTCCGATATCAGTGGGGTGGTGGTGGTGGCGGCTCTGGTGCACGTGGCAGCTGTGATCCAGCACTGTGGAGGCAGCAGCCGAGGGTTGATGGAGCACCACACAGATGGGGTGAATCTCCCATCCCGTGAGTGTTGAGTGGCCGTACCCTCTGGCTTGCCAGGAGAAGGCGGTGCAGCCAAGTGTGGACGAATCTCCATCTGTTCCATCTCCCTTCCCGTGGGCATTGAGGAGCCATACGCTGGCTCATCAGGAGAAGGCGGTGCTGTGCCGTCTATGTGGGAGTGTTTCCCCATCGCACGTTTTCTCCAGGTGCTCTAATTTCCAAAGACCAAGATCCCCCGTATAGCCTGAACAGACGGTTGGGGAAAGTGCTGTTAGCGAGCACCTTTGAAGGCCGGCATGGCACACGAGGGCGTGGGTGGCCAGCACCACGTTCGGCCCCCTTTGTCTCCCTCGTGAGGATGTTTATACATCGCACCTGGTACTAATTTGAGACTGAGTCGACCTAGAGTAGGCTCAGGGCAGGTTCAGATAATCGTCAGTGGTGTTGTCGACCTAGAGGAGGCCCAGGGCAGGTTCAGATAATCGTCAGTGGTGTTGGCCGTGAGCGGGAGTCGAACTCCATATGCCAGATTCGTTAGCGCACTAACCGCAACGCTACCGCTCCTTAATAGCTGCAGTTTCCATCGACATATAAACACATTATTTCGCCAATAATGCTGTCATATATAGAGCATCTCAGAGCTTGGGCAAATGTTGGTAGCACCAACTCCTCATCCCGTGGCTGCTGCTGCTTTCCCGCTCGTCTTTGGTTCCTCTAAAAAAATGTTCATGGAAGCTGATTCGTAAGTGCGGGTGATCGTAAGTCTAGGACTGCCTGTATCAATCACATAATTTTGTAAAATATACTTAATATTTTGGTGGAGTTTTGGTGGTACTGGAGTGGGGTGCACGTGGTAGTGACGGTGGAGTAGAGGGCACGTGATGGTGGAGTGGGGGACACATGGTGGTGAAGTTGGAGGCACGGTGGTGGTGGAGTGGGGTGGTGGAGATGTTGGAGTGGGGGGCACGTTGGTGGTGGAGTGGGGAGCACGTGGTGGTGGCGGTGGAGTTGGGGGCACGTTGGTGGTGGAGTGGGGGACTCATGGTGGTGGAGTGGGGGGCACGTGGTGGTGGCGGTGTTGTAGTGAAGGAGTCCGCAGCTGCCCTCCTCCCCCACAGCGTCGCGAGCTTGACTCGCTGAGCGAGACCGAGTCTATTTATAGAGCATGCCTCTCGATGTTTCTGGACCCCCCCCCCATCACCTACAGTGGACAAGGGGCCAGCGCCTCACTCAACGACGTGGGAGAGAGAATTCATACTCCTTGGTTATTTCGGTAAAGTCACGTAGTTCTTTCTACCTACGTAACTTTACCGAAAGAACCAAAGAGTATGGATTCCTGCAGTCACGAAAGCTTCAAATCAAGAGAGAGAATTCACTTAAGCGGCGATGCAGAGGAGGCGACACTTGCGCCACACAGCCAGAAGCCTGCAGGGCCTGTGTTCGATTACGGTTATCCACTCTTGCCTGTTACAACTTTGACAATAGTCCTGTTTATTTAGGCCTTTGGGCCTCTGTTCGCCACCGTGGGCACCACGGTAGTGAGATGTTAACTACCTCGCCTGCTATACAGGAGATCGTGGACTCGACCCCGATCCTGTCGCCTGCTGTATATTTGGAGTTTGTGGTGCCTCTCTCCCCATGATCGTGTGGATTTTTCTCCAGGTCCTGCGGTTTTTCCCTCCACATTTTAAATCAGAGTGCATTTAGAATATTTGGCTGCTATAAATTTCCACTTGATAAGCCACTTCGTTGAACTATTATTTGTTGCCAGGTCATACCTGGTAAAATAAAAAAAAGGATTATTTTAAATATCCCCCTTATATCCTTAAACAGACTGTTGGAGCAAGAGCTGTTAGAATCACTTATGAAGGCCAGAACCTTGCACAAAGGGGGTGGGTGGCCAGAACCACACCCCAGCCACCTTTGTCTCCATAGTGGGGATGTTTACACGTAGTCTCGAGGTACTAATTTGATGCTGAGTTGACCTAGGGGAGGCCCAAGAGCGGTTCAGATATTGGCCCTGAGCAGGAATCGAACTCGCGTAGCCAGGGTCATAGGTCGGCGTGCTAACCACTGCGCCACAGCTCCCTCAACACACGTGTAGTGATTGACTCGGAGACACTAAGAGTAGGAGGCACTCTGTTTATTAACATGGCCTGACAGTTAACACTTTGTAACTACGGTTCCCAGTCAGGACAGCTGGTAGACTGCCTGACTGGTGATGCCGAGACGGTGAAGACGGAGACGACGGTGAAGAATCTAGCAGCATGACGGGATCCCAATCCACACGACAGCCCCAAGGTCCCCCCTCCAGGGGCCCCTCTTATACTGTCAGCGTGGCCTGGCTCCGCCCCCGGCCACGCCCCCTTCTGGAACCTACTAGCGGGTTCTCCATGTGTCCCTTCAGCGACCCTTTCCCTAGATCCCTCTCTGGTCTATCACCTGGCCTGCTGTCAGTCAGGGCTGCTGTAAGCTGCAGATCCCCTTCCCCACCAGCAGCCAGCACTATGCTGCTACGTGACTGATTCCATGTCACTACATACGTATAAACCAAGAAAAAACATAGATAGTAATTATGTTTGCTGTACTCACAACGATGCACCAAAACCTCGCAAGCTGCCTCCACACTGCTGGATTCCAGGACAGCCACGTGCAGCAAAGCCAGAGTAACACATCACATTATTCAGCTTCTATAACATACACCTAGAGTTTGTTGAAACTAAAATGGCAATTAATTGCTAAGTTTAATGACAATCGAAGGATGTAATATTTAAAAAAAACGTGCTGCGTGGTGCTATGCTGGTAAGCTTGGAAGGCAGGTATTTTATTGCTGTATTTGTGTGATCGCGTAACGTCATTGTACAGGTTCGATATACACAGTCACTAACTTTTCATTGCATACCGTAACATTCATAACATTGCTTCGTGATAATTGTGTGGATAACCATCAGGGCTCCTGAGTTAATTTCACGTATCGCGAAGCCTGAGTTGGGCCTAATCAGTCGACTGAACATCTGTGAAAACTCATGGACGTCTGTTAAAAATAAATGTTTAGCTCATCGGATTTCTCCAGTAGAAATTTAATGTAGGAATTTGGGCGGGAGACGACTTGACGGGTAGCACACTTTTATTAACACCAACTTCACTAACACGTGTGATCCACTGCAGCCTACGCTACGCGGTTCCCCCGGCTACACACACACGGGCTCTCCCGCCCCGTAGCTTCTAGGGAACCCACCCCAACTGGGGTCTGGGTGCCGACCACTGGGTCCCACAGCCTCGCCCTTACAAGGACGTCAGGCCGCGGGTCCCACGGTCTCGCCTCTGAGCAGCACAGGGTCCCGGCCCTTACAAGGACAGCGGGACTAGGGGTCTGAGGGCCCTATCTCTTCCAACTCCGTCTTCGATCTTCACTGGTTAACAACTCCCCGAGCGCCCCCGCGCATCCCCCTTTATAGTCCTCCACTCCCGGGGAGACGGAGCCCATGCGGACCTCGATGTGAGCACCCACCCCAGTTGACCAATCACCACGCGCTGCCACACGATCCTTTTTCCCATCTTGTGTCAGCGCACACAACCACTCACCCCGCGCCGCCACATGATCCATCACTGTCAGCGCGCGTCACCACTATACCACGCGATGTAGCCACACCCGACGCGCTCACAAACGCTCCCCCCTTGTCAGCGCGTACCGCCACTACAGAAACAAAGATTCTGATTCTGAGAGCGTAGTTGAGCCTCTGTGCGTCAGGCCTATCTGGCGGAGCACGTCGCAGAGCCTGCGTCTGTCCTGGTGATGCACTGAATATAAAATAAAGCACAATGCACCCCTGATGTTACTTAAATGTTTTTAAAAATATAGCATGAGGATTTAATTATTATTATTTAAGGACTGCAAAAGCAGGGGAATCGCTTGTTTTTTTCAGAGGATACTGTCGTGGACTTTTAATGGACGCCTTGCGACCCGATTTCAAGGTTAATAAGAAATGAGGGCAAGGTTTCGACTTTTATCACGCTCGAATCACTTCGCTTTGTGACATTCGCCACGAATTGTGGCTGGACAAGGTCATAATCGCTTCTGCCAAGCCTGTTGAGATCCCCCAGACCGGATCATCACAGTGTTTGGTGTATTATTAGCCACCTTTGGTATATACAGTCTGGAATTCTTTTAACGCGATAGTAGTTGCGTTCCTGAAGAACACCGCGTTATGAAAAAATCGTGTTATAATATGAAATGTAAGGTAAAGCACAGTCCACGATAACACGTGAGATGCGTACGCAGGCTGAACCAAGACTACTGAGGCGCTGAGGTTAGCATCTAGAAGCATCCCGCCTTGTGTGATGCTACGCCGAGGCAACCGTACGACTGCTTATTCCTACTCGAGCGATATAATTTCGTTCGCTCGATCGCATTATATCCAATTCGCATCCGTATTATAAGAAACATTGTTACCGAATACATTCATCGCGTTATATCCAATTCGCGTTGTGAAGACACGCGGTGTTAAAGGAGAACAGACTCGATTGTGTAGAGGATTCTATGACAATAATTATGATTCAACGTGTTTAGCCAGGGAAGCCTCATCGATCTTGATTAGAAACTTTCGTGACTGCAGGAATCCATACTCTTTGGTTCTTTCGGTAAAGTCACGTAGGTATAAAATAAAATAAATCACGACGTTTCGGGCACAAGACAAGCGTCCATCATCAGAAGCCTCATCGAGTCTCAATTTTTTTACAGGAGAGGTCTTGCAGTTTTCGCAGTTGGGGGAGGGGGGGCGATGTTTCTGCTGCTTCATGATCCCAATTGAGTAATTTCCAGGAAGAAGCAGGGAAAAGTGTTGTGACCTGGATTAATGATGGCTTCTGATGGTTCTCTTCGGTGAATCGATGGCGTCGTCACGCAATAATGTGTGGTGCTTTTTCAATAAGTGTACCTGCTTGACAGCTCGTGTATGAACATCTGGAATAAGATAGAATTTAATTTGACCATGTCTCAGGGTTCAGCAGCAGTATATATTTATAATTTCACACATCATGGTGACTATGATTTCTTGCATTTTCATTCTGGCTTCCTTGATCTTGTCTTAGAGATGCTTCACAGTTTCAAGTGGAACATCGCACTATGTAATTGTTGCGAAATCTGGCTGTGAGAATTGCTCTCTAATTTTACAAGTGAGTGTGTGAGCGAGTGGTTGGGTGAATGGTTAAGTGAGTGGGTGAGTAAGTGGGTGAGAGTGTGTGATTGGGTAAGTGGTTAGGTGAGTGAAAGAGTGGTTGAGTGAGTGGTTTAGTGAATGGTTAAGTGAGTGGGTGTCAGAGTGAGAGTGTGAGTGAGTGCTTGAGTAAGTGAGAGGGTGAGTCAGTGGATGAGAGTGTGTGATTGGGTAAGTGGCTAGGTCGGTGAGAGAGTGTGAGTTAAGCATTGAGTGGGTGAGTGGGTAATTCAGTGGGTGAGAGTGTGTGGTTGGGTGGGTGAGAGAGTGGTTGAGTGCTTGAGGGAGTGAGTGTTAGAGTGAGTGTTACAGTGAGTGAGTGTTAAAGTGAGTGGGTGTTAGTGAGTGAGCCGAAGCAACAATCGGCGTGTTGTCGGTAAAACGCTTGTCACGCCGCCTGATAATTAAATTATTGTGGCTGTGTCGGGTGGTGGAGGGTTCTCGAGGAGACAGACCTCTTCAGATGATTCCGTAGCAGCCTAACCCGCAAATCAATTCCCAATAATATCGCAAGCATGCACTGACAATGTCTGCGGTCCCTACACGTGAAGTGCCCGAGTCTGAACTCTGTTTTCACGACACCTATATTTAGACACGTGTTTTTGTGTCTGCTCTCTGTGCACTCAAATCCTTCAATTTGAGCATTCAAAACATATGCTCCTCTGTGTTTCTCTCTGCTGTACCGTGTCTCTGCTTCTCCTTGTGCCTCTCTGCTGCTCCGAATCTCTCTGCTGCTTTGTCTCTCTCTGCCGCTCCGTGTCTCTCTCTCTTCCGCTCCGTGTCTCTCTCTGCCGCTCCGTGTCTCTCACTGCCGCCCCGCGTCTCTCACTGCCGCCCCTGCCGCTCTGCGTCTCTCACTGCCGCTCCGTGTCTCTCTCTGCCGCTCCGTGTCTCTCTCTAGGTGGCGATGGCCACAGAGGAGGGGGACGGGGAGATGACGCACGCAGACGAAAGGGTGGAGAGCACGGCGAGTCGAGCCGGAGTAGGTGAGCCTGCAGACAACAGGGAACGCCCTGGAGGAAGGGATGAGCGCCCTGGAGGAATGGAGGAGTGCCCTGGAGGAAGGGAGGAACGCCCTGGAGGAAGGGAGGAACGCCCTGGAGGAAGAGAGGAGCGCGCCAGAGGAAGGGAGGAACGCCCTGGAGGAAGGGAGGAACGCCTTGGAGGAAAGGATGAACGCCCTGGAGGAAGGGATGAGCCCCCTGGAGGAATGGAGGAACGCCCTGGAGGAAGGGAGGAACGCCCTGGAGGAAGGGAGGAGCGCACCAGAGGAAGGGAGGAAAGCCCTGGAGGAATGGAGGAGCGCCCTGGAGGAAGGGTGGAACGCCCTGCAGGAACGGATGAGCGCGCAAGAGGAAGGGTGGAGAGCCCTGGAGGCAGGGAGGAGCGCCCTGGAGGAAGGGAGAAACTCCTTGGAGGAAGGGATGAACGCCCTGGAGGAAGGGATGAGCGCCCTGGAGGAAGGGAGGAACGCCCTGGAGGAAGGGAGGAGCGCCCTGGAGGAAGGGAGAAACTCCTTGGAGGAAGGGAGGAGCGCCCTGGAGGAAGGGAGAAACTCCTTGGAGGAAGGGAGGAACGTCCTGGAGGAAGGGTGGAGCGTGCGGACAGCAGCCAGGCAGATGACAAGTCGGACGTGCTCTCTGTGCAATCTCGCTACCTCCGCAGTGGCTCCTTCAGCCGGTGAGACACCGAGACACAGCTCACAGAGACAATGAGCTGAGACAGAAACAATTATACACTCGGGAACAGACACTGAGATGCAGGGACACAGCACACAGAGACACTGATATACTAAGACACAGACCCTGAGACATACACAGTCACTGAATCTTCTTTCATATGGCTGGTGTAGATGCAGAGCAGTCACTACAATTTCACATTCAGGTGGTCAAGCCAGTCAGGAGTAGCGGAGTGTATCACCGCAATCAGGCACTGCGTCGTTATACGTTGTACGGTCTGTTCTTGGTGCCCAGAGTCGCACACTGGAGAGTTTTTAAGGTTACATTTGATCCTCATGGCGGTACCCTCTGTACCAAATATAGAAAAAATGGCCGAGGCAATTCAATATTTTATTTCTGGGACACGATTTTTTTCCAGGGGTATTCTTCACTCCGGGACTGGGGTACCAATCAATCCGAAACCGGTGCTACTCTGCCAACCATTAGCATAAGAAATCCGTTATCGAAAAATCCAACATTGAATAGTGCATCGTGTACAGCTCGCCGACATGAGTCGATTGCCGCATCGCCGACCATCAACAGACTAAAAATTACTGCATCACGGAAATTATGCGAGAGCCGGAGTACTATGGAACCCCGGGGTACCGCCATAAGGTTCATTTGTGCATCATCAGGTATCCACATCTGATATGGTTTGTGCAGTGGATGCGGTTTTGGGTGGAGCATGAGCTTTGTGGAAGATCAGACCTAGGGATCTTCATCATTGGGTCCTCCACAACAAGGTGGTGTTTGTTTGTGAATTCTTTTGAACTCCATTCAGCTCTCCAAGCTTCATTGCGGTTGAACTCGCATCGTTAAAGGTTAAGCGCATGAGTCCAAAAAGGCTTACGTGAAGTGGTGATGAGGAGCGTGATTGAGGTCCTGATGAATGGGAAGGTGACTGGTATGGAGGGCATCCAAGACGTGGGTTTCTTGGAGCGTCAGGATATTGATGTTGCGGGCGTTCATTCAGTTCGCGAGCTACGCGGAATTCGCCCGGGAGAGTCCCTCAATATTCAGTTGGAGGATCCTTGTCCCAGCATCTATCTGGCGCTTTGTTTTGCCCTGAACAAGGCCTTTGGTGTGGCTTGTGCTGTTGCTCCCGATGATCGATGTTCAGTCGCCGCGTTGATGCCGTTCGTCTTGATTTATCACTCAACAAAGTGGGCCGCGTGAAGGGTTGCCATCTCTCGTCACTGAATGAGACGCAGGGAATGAGACACAGGGAATGAGACGGGGAATGAGACACCGGGAATGAGAGACAGGGACACTGCAAGAGACGCAGAGACACAGCACGTATACTCACACGTGACTGGTACGAGGTCTGTGCGATCTCTCCCCTGCACTCCCTCCCCGCAGGTTCTCCGTGTCCTATGACACAGACACAGAGAGCATCCACATGGAGCCCATACACCTCTCCTCGAGCCTGGCCGCAGCGCAGATCATCAAGGAGGGTAACGAGCGCGGACACGCCCTCATCTACCTTGTAGCTCCGTGTGTGTGTGTATCACTCATCTACTCTGTAGCTCCGTGTGTGTGTCACTCATCTACCCTGTCGCTCCATGTGTGTGTCACTCATCTACCCTGTCGCTCCGTGTGTGTGTGTGTGTCACTCATTTACCCTGTCGCTACGTGTGTGTGTCACTCATCTACCCTGTCGCTCCGTGTGTGTGTGTGTGTCACTCATCTACCCTGTCGCTACGTGTGTGTCACTCATCTACCCTGTCGCTCCGTGTGTGTGTCACTCATCTACACTGTCGCTCCGTGTGTGTGTGTCACTCATCTAGCCTGTCGCTCCGTGTGCGTGTCACTCATCTACCCTGTCGCTCCGTGTGTGCGTGTCACTCATCTACTCTGTCGCTCCGTGTGTGTGTGGATCACTCATCTACCGTGTCGCTCCGTGTGTGTGTGTGTCACTCATCTACCCTGTCGCTCCGTGTGTGTGTGTCACTCATCTACCCTGTCGCTCCGTGTGTGTGTGTCACTCATCTACCCTGTCGCTCCGTGTGTCACTCATCTACACTGTCGCTCCGTGTGTGTGTGTCACTCATCTACCCTGTCGCTCCGTGTGTGTGTATCACTCATCTACACTGTCGCACCGTGTGTGTGTGTCACTCATCTACCCTGTCGCTCCGTGTGTGTGTGTCACTCATCTACCCTGTCGCTCCGTGTGTGTGTGTCACTCATCTACCCTGTCGCTCCGTGTGTGTGTGTGTCACTCATCTACCCTGTCGCTCCGTGTGTGTGTGTCACTCATCTACCCTGTCGCTCCGTGTGTGTGTGTCACTCATCTACCCTGTCGCTCCGTGTGTGTGTGTCACTCATCTACCCTGTCGCTCCGTGTGTGTGTGTGTCACTCATCTACCCTGTCGCTCCGTGTGTGTGTGTCACTCATCTACCCTGTCACTCCGTGTGTGTGTGTGTGTCACTCATCTACCCTGTCGCTCCGTGTGTGTGTGTCACTCATCTACCCTGTCGCTCCGTGTGTGTGTGTCACTCATCTACCCTGTCGCTCCATGTGTGTGTGTGTCACTCATCTACCCTGTCGCTCCGTGTGTGTGTGTCACTCATCTACCCTGTCGCTCCGTGTGTGTGTGGATCACTCATCTACCCTGTCGCTCCGTGTGTGTGTGTCACTCATCTACCCTGTCGCTCCGTGTGTGTGTGGATCACTCATCTACCCTGTCGCTCCGTGTGTGTGTGTCACTCATCTACCCTGTCGCTCCGTGTGTGTGTGTCTCATCTACACTGTCGCTCCGTGTGTGTGTGTCTCATCTACACTGTCGCTCCGTGTGTGTGTGTCACTCATCTACCCTGTCGCTCCGTGTGTGTGTCACTCATCTACCCTGTCGCTCCGTGTGTGTGTGTGTGTCACTCATCTACCCTGTCGCTACGTGTGTGTGTGTCACTCATCTACCCTGTCGCTCCGTGTGTGTGTGTATCACTCATCTACCCTGTCGCTCCGTGTGTGTGTGTCACTCATCTACCCTGTCGCTCTGTGTGTGTGTCACTCATCTACCCTGTCGCTCCGTGTGTGTGTATCACTCATCTACCCTGTCACTACGTGTGTGTGTCACTCATCTACCCTGTCGCTCCGTGTGTGTGTGTCACTCATCTACCCTGTCGCTACGTGTGTGTGTCACTCATCTACCCTGTCGCTCCACGTGTGTGCGTGTCACTCATCTACCCTGTCGCTACGTGTGTGTGTGTCACTCATCTACGCTGTCGCTACGTGTGCGTGTCACTCATCTACCCTGTCGCTACGTGTGTGTGTGTCACTCATCTACCCTGTCACTCCGTGTGTGTGTGTCACTCATCTACCCTGTCGCTACGTGTGTGTCACTCATCTATGCTGTCGCTCCGTGTGTGTGTCACTCATCTGCCCTGTCGCTACGTGTGTGTGTGTCACTCATCTACCCTGTCACTCCGTGTGTGTGTGTGTGTCACTCATCTACCCTGTCGCTACGTGTGCGTGTCACTCATCTACCCTGTCGCTCCATGTGTGTGTGTCACTCATCTACCCTGTCGCTACGTGTGCGTGTCACTCATCTACCCTGTCGCTACGTGTGTGTGTCACTCATCTACCCTGTCACTCCGTGTGTGTGTGTCACTCATCTACCCTGTCGCTCCGTGTGTGTGTCACTCATCTACCCTGTCGCTACGTGTGTGTGTGTCACTCATCTACCCTGTCACTCCGTGTGTGTGTGTGTGTGTCACTCATCTACGCTGTCGCTCCGTGTGTGTGTGTGTCACTCATCTACGCTGTCGCTCCGTGTGTGTGTGTGTGTCACTCATCTACGCTGTTGCTACGTGTGTGTGTCACTCATCTACCCTTTTGCTCCATGTGTGTGTGTGTCACTCATCTACCCTGTCACTACGTGTGTGTATCACTCATCTACCCTTTTGCTCCGTGTGTGCGTGTCACTCATCTACCCTTTTGCTCCATGTGTGTGTGTATCACTCATCTACCCTGTCGCTACGTGTGTTTGTCACTCATCTACCCTGTCACTCCGTGTGTGTGTGTCACTCATCTACCCTGTCGCTACGTGTGTGTGTGTATCACTCATCTACCCTTTTGCTCCGTGTGTGCGTGTCACTCATCTACCCTTTTGCTCCATGTGTGTGTGTCACTCATCTACCCTGTCGCTCCGTGTGTGTGTATCACTCATCTACCCTGTCGCTACGTGTGTGTCACTCATCTACCCTGTCACTCCGTGTGTGTGTGTCACTCATCTACCCTGTCGCTCCGTGTGTGTGTGTCACTCATCTACCCTGTCGCTCCGTGTGTGTGTCACTCATCTACCCTGTCGCTCCGTGTGTGTGTCACTCATCTACCCTGTCGCTCTGTGTGTGTGTCACTCATCTACCCTGTCGCTCCGTGTGTGTGTCACTCATCTACCCTGTCGCTCTGTGTGTGTCACTCATCTACCCTGCCGCTCCGTGTGTGTGTCACTCATTTACCCTGTCGCTCCGTGTGTGTGTGTATCACTCATCTACCCTGTCGCTCCGTGTGTGTGTGTCACTCATCTAGCCTGTCGCTCCGTGTGTGTGTGTCACTCATCTACCCTGTCGCTCCGTGTGTGTGTGTCACTCATCTAGCCTGTCGCTACGTGTGTGTGTATCACTCATCTACCCTGTCGCTCCGTGTGTGTGGATCACTCATCTACCCTGTCGCTCCGTGTGTGTGTGTCACTCATCTACCCTGTCGCTCCGTGTGTGTGTGTCACTCATCTACCCTGTCGCTCCATGTGTGTGTGTGTCACTCATCTACCCTGTCGCTCCGTGTGTGTGTGTATCACTCATCTACCCTGTCGCTACGTGTGTGTCACTCATCTACCCTGTCGCTCCGTGTGTGTGTGTCACTCATCTACCCTGTCGCTCCGTGTGCGTGTGTTACTCATCTACCCTGTCGCTCCGTGTGTTTGTGTGTATCACTCATCTACCCTGTCGCTACGTGTGTGTGTTTCACTCATCTACCCTGTCGCTACGTGTGTGTGTGTGTCACTCATCTACCCTGTCGCTACGTGTGTGTGTCACTCATCTACCCTGTCGCTACGTGTGTGTGTGTCACTCATCTACCCTGTCGCTCCATGTGTGTGTGTCACTCATCTACCCTGTTGCTATGTGTGTGTGTGTCACTCATCTACACTGTCGTTCCGTGTGTGTGTCACTCATCTACCCTGTCGCTCCGTGTGTGTGTCACTCATTTACCCTGTCGCTCTGTGTGTGTGTGTCACTCATCTACCCTGCCGCTCCGTGTGTGTGTCACTCATCTACCCTGTCGCTCCATGTGTGTGTGTGTCACTCATCTACGCTCTCGCTCTGTGTGTGTGTGTCACTCATCTACCCTGTCGCTCCGTGTATGTGTGTGTATCACTCATCTACCCTGTCGCTACGTGTGTGTGTGTCACTCATCTACCCTGTCACTCCGAGTGTGTGTGTCACTCATCTACCCTGTCGCTCCGTGTGTTTGTGTGTCACTCATCTACCCTGTCGCTCCGTGTGTGTGTGTATCACTCATCTACCCTGTCGCTACGTGTGTGTCACTCATCTACCCTGTTGCTGCGTGTGTGTGTGTCACTCATCTACCCTGTCGCTCCGTGTGCGTGTGTCACTCATCTACCCTGTCACTCCGTGTGTGTGTGTGTGTATCACTCATCTACCCTGTCGCTACGTGTGTGTGTCACTCATCTACCCTGTCGCTACGTGTGTGTGTCACTCATCTACCCTGTCGCTACATGTGTGTGTGTCACTCATCTACCCTGTCGCTCCGTGTGCGTGTGTCACTCATCTACCCTGTCGCTCCGTGTGTGTGTGTGTATCACTCATCTACCCTGTCGCTACGTGTGTGTGTCACTCATCTACCCTGTCGCTACGTGTGTGTGTGTCACTCATCTACCCTGTCGCTCCATGTGTGTGTGTCACTCATCTACCCTGTTGCTATGTGTGTGTGTAACTCATCTACCCTGTCGCTCCGTGTGTGTGTTTGTGTATCACTCATCTACCCTGTCGCTACGTGTGTGTGTCACTCATCTACCCTGTCGCTACGTGTGTGTGTGTCACTCATCTACCCTGTCGCTCCGTGTGTGTGTGTATCACTCATCTACCCTGTCGCTGCGTGTGTGTGTGTCACTCATCTACCCTGTCGCTACGTGTGTGTGGATCACTCATCTACCTTGTCGCTCCGTGTGTGTGTGTGTGTGTATCACTCATCTACCCTGTCGCTACGTGTGCGTGTCACTCATCTACCCTGTCGCTCCGTGTGTGTGTGTCACTCATCTACCCTGTCGCTACGTGTGTGTGTCACTCATCTACCCTGTCGCTCCACGTGTGTGCGTGTCACTCATCTACCCTGTCGCTACGTGTGTGTGTGTGTCACTCATCTACGCTGTCGCTACGTGTGCGTGTCACTCATCTACCCTGTCGCTACGTGTGTGTGTGTCACTCATCTACCCTGTCGCTACGTGTGTGTCACTCATCTACCCT